CCATACCATTTCTACAATTTATATTGATCAATATAAACCATAGAAAGTAGAAAACAAGCAAATTATGCATTGAATATAGAATTTGTCAGAAACAGAACAGTCTGTAATGATCTCAACAACAACCATAATTCGGCTACTCCAAAAAATCTAAAAAATTAGGAAAACATAGGAAATTTGTATATCAATCTTGTGCAAAACAAATCAGATCAAAAGCACGCTTATGTGATTTTTTAAAATCTCGGCAATGAGCGCAAAAGTTTCTGTTTTCAGCAAGATCAAACCAAACTACCACCATAGATCATCCCAAAGGTCTTACTTGGCACTTTATTGAAACAAAAGTTATAGAACATGAGTACTACAGTAGCATAATCATAAGAACACACAAAAATAGTAGGGGTAAATGTTGGGTTGTTTCCCAACAAGCACTTTTCTTTAATGCCTTTTTAGCTAGGCATGATATTTTAATGATACTCTTCCAAGCCCAATTTTGATAATAGTTTTATTCATACTCTAAAAGATATAAGTGAAGTTCATAGAGAATTCTACGATTAATATAGACTGACCAATATCCAAGCTCAAAATATATAAGTGAAGCACATGAAACATTGTATAAAGCCATACTCAAAAGATAAGTTAAGCACAAAGAGCATTCTATAAAGCCATACTCAAAAGATTTAAGTGAAGCGCATGAAGCATTGTATAAATCAATGAAGGACTATATCATACTAGCATGGTGCATTAAGGAAAAAAATAAAAATAAACACAAAAGATGCATGTCATGTGAACAAAACAAAAATCGAGGTATACCGATAATTGTTGGAGAAGAAAGGTGGGATGCCAACCGGGGCATCCCCAAGCTTAGATACTTGAGTATCCTTGAAATATTTACTTGGGGTGCCTTGGGCATCCCCAAGCTTGAACTCTTTCCTCTCCTTATTCTTCTCATATCGATAACTCCTCGATCTTCGAACACTTCATCCACACAAAACTTAACAAAAAACCTTGTGAGATCCATTAGTATAATAAAACAAATCACTACTTTTAGGTATGGTTGTAAACTCATTCCAATTTCATATTAGCATTATATATACTGTATTCCAACTTCACCATGGTTCATACCCCCTAATACAACCCATAGATTCATCAAAATAAGCGAACAACACATAGAAAACAGAATATGTCAAAAACAGGACAATCTCTAGCAATCTGGAAATTTCGTATACTTATGTGACTCCAAAAATTCTAAAAAAATAGGACAAAATAAATAATTTGCATAGCAGTACCGTGTAAAAATTTCAATTTTATCATGCTCCGGTAAAAAAGTAAATTCAATTACTATAGAAAAAATTCTGTTTTTGCACCGCACAAAGCAAACAAGCAATCTAATCATTCTAAAGCCAAATCTTGGCACATTATTTCTATAATACAATGGATATATACAAGGGGAAAAATATTTTTGGAAAACTTCCATGAAAAATTCTACATTGTTTCCATGAGCATGAACACAAGTGTTCAAGGTTGACCCTCACTTCTCCAATGCATAACCTTCCAATCACTTCTCTTTTTGAAATAGTTTTTAGGCATAAGAGGCAAGTAATTTTTTTGTATTTTTCATTCCTTAAAAAAATGTTTGTTTCACCCACAACTAAAGAAAAGAAAAACAAAAGGGAAAACAAAATCTACTTAGTGAAGAAAGCAAACAAGCACACACGAGAATATCAACCCCACGCTATTGCTCCCTGATAACAGCGCTAGTAATTAAAGAGCTTGATAATCCCCAAGTGCAAGGAATCATCATAGAAAATTCCAAAGATGAAAGTGATAAGTATGAGGGTCAAACCCACAAGGAGCTAAAGGTAAGATCAATATTCTCTCAAGTCCTATCTGCCACCGATACAACTCTACGTACACCAAAGGTTTGCTTTCATCTAGAAATAAAAAATAAAACAATGTTGTGGGTATGAGGAGGATAGCTTTGCATGATATTGGAGAACTAAAATATAAAAATGGGTGATGTTAACATAAAGTTAGAACATATTACTATATATTATAAATAGCGAGTGTGGAATAATGTTGGATCGGTGTGTGGAATTATCCTAGGCAATTGTTAACAAGATCGGTAATCATTATTGCAATTTTATATGAGGGAGATGCATAAGCTAACATACTTTCTCTACTTGGATCATATGCACTTATGATTGGAACTCTAGCAAGCATCTGCAACTAAGATCATTAAGGTAAAACCCAACCATAGCATTAAAGTATCAAGTCCCCTTTATCCCATACACAACAACCCCCTTACTCGGGTTTAAGCTTCAGTTACTCTAGCAACCCACTATAAGAGAATCATGAACGTACTGCTACACCCTACAGTGGGAATCCTTCACGTGTGCGCGGCACAGAAGGCACCATAGGACAGCACCAAAATAAAACATACAACTCAAACCAATCTAGATCATCAATCAACCCAAAAGACAAAATAAATCTACTCAAAACATCATAGGATGGCAGCACATCATTGGATCATAATATGTGGCATAAAGCACCATGTTCAAGTAGGGGATTACAGCGGGGTGCGGGAGAGTGGACCGCATATAAGAGAGAGTAATGTGATGAAGATGGTGATGTTGATGAAGACGATCACCGCGGCGATGGTTCCCTCAACGGCACTCCACCGCCACCAAGAGAGAGGGGGGAGGGTCTCCCCCTTGTGCTTCCTCCTCCATGGCCTCCCCCTAGATGGGGAGAGGATCTCCCTCTGGTCCTTGGCCTCCATGGTGATGATGGACACTTCCGGCTTCCTCCTCCATGGCCTCCGGTGATGATGGCCCCCTCCGGCAGGGTGCCAGAGAGGGCATAGATTAATTTTTCGTGGCTACAGAGGCCCGCGGAGGCAGAACTTCCGATCTAGGGTTCTTTTCGGGGGTTTTGGCATTTATAAGAATTTTTGGCGTCGGTCTCACATCAAGGGGATTCCCGAGGGGCCCACAAGCCCTCAGGGCGCGCCCTGGGGGGTAGGGCGCGCCCCCTATCTTGTGGACTCCTCGGTCACCCCCTGGTCCAACTCTTGTGTTTCGGGGGTCTCTTTTGGTCCATAAAAAATTATCGTAAATTTTCAGCCTATTTCGAAAACTTTTATTTCTGCACAAAAAAATGACACCACGGTCGAATTAGTTCGGATTAGTTCTGCTGAAAACAGCGTCAGTCCAGATTAGTTCTAACCAAATCATACCAAAACCATATAAAGTTTTGTAAACATGGCATAAATATTTCATAAATTATAGGGATGAGGTGGCAAACCAGGAACACATGATCTCGCTTCATTTGGACGGCCACGCACCCGACCAATGCGAGCATCGTATCAACCGGTTGATGTGATGTGTTTCCCAAAATAATTAGAATGAATTTTGTCCAAAATTGTGTTTACGGAATAATCAAGTTAAGCATTAAAAACAAATATGGAAAATCTCATCACATTGTCCCGTATGTAATTATTTACATAAGGAAAATCAAGATAAGTTGGATATTTTATTGATAATGCCGCGCAAGACATTCTTATTCAGCAAAAGTAGTAGTAGAGGCTCCTACCGTGCCATTTTCATTATTATAAGATGGCGTTTGGTTTTGTCGTAAGCATACCTTGCCTGATTTTTGCCTAGTGGAAATTTTGGTTGAAGTTCTGTTAGCCAACAATTTGATCAGCATTGACAAAAAAGTTTAACTAGAATGGAGAAAAGATCATTGACATGCTAATATTTTTTACTATGATTCAATCAAATCCCCATAATAAACTGTCTTCATGCGGTTTGCGGGCAGTAAGATCACTTGATTTTGTTAGTGTTAGCACTTTGTGTTGGCTCTTTTGTATCTAATACGTTAATGATGTTGTATTGAACAAAACGACTGTTTTCAATCTTTTACATGACATGCATGCACTTGCCTATCAATTTGCTAATTTCCTGTGTGTTGTGATCAGTGTTGTAGCAACATGATAATAAGTCGGAGCAAGTAGAGCATCTATTTTTTCAACATGCGTGGCATTTAGCAATAGGTTTTGTAAGAGCAACTATGGTGGAGTAATATGTTCCATCCCTACATAATAATACTTAACATGGAGGCTAGAGGGACGAAAATTTACTCTTGCAGATTCTCCATACCTCCCTCTATCTCCATAATTTTGAGAGTTGGGAGCTCCAAAAAGAGGATAGAGCTTCTATATTGGAGGTTATTGGGGTGTAATATAGTGCACTTCAAATCTAACTGGTTTTTTTTCACACACAACAAATCCAACTGATTTTGATTCACCCACTCCCGAGTCCACTCATGTTTAGTGGTGTTGCAACTCATACCACTATACCAGTCCCAAATGCGTTGAAACTCACTAGCAAGCCAACTTGCCTATTTGCATGGTAAGCTACTAAGCTTCACCCGTTCATCGTGTTCTCCAACTCACCCCGGTCGATGAAGGTACGCCACGCGCTCCCGCTGCTCGTGCGTCGGGCCAGTGCACGGCTCGCGGGACGCATGGCGCTCTGGCATTGGCTGGTGTAGCGTGGCGCTCTGGCATTGGCCGGTGTAGTGTGGCGCTCTGGGGTTGGTGGGTGTAGCGTGGCGCCTGTGAATGGCCGGTGGCAAACATTTCCATTTATATTTATCTGTGTGAAAAAAATGTGGGTGGTGATGCTTCCATAGTTCATGCCAATCTCCTGTCCTCGCCACCTACTCCATCCAGATCCGGGAGTAGCCGACCACGACCCAACGACCCCCGAGCCGCTCTCCCCGATCGCCGTGCCGAGCTCCCTCCGCGCCCTTCCCCCCTCTCCCCATCCCCTAGCAGCTCCTACCAACTCCGGCCGCGCTCTTCACCAACCCAGGTCCGCCGCCACCCATCTCAGATCCGCCGCTCCCACCTTCCGCCGCGCCGTTGACCACCTCCCTCCGACGACCTCGTCCATCGCCGTGTCGCGCCGCCAGACCCCGCAGCCTGCCGCTGACCTCGGATGGCCAAGGCCGCACGCGTGGACGCAGCCGGCGAACTCCTGGACGACCTCCTGCTCCTCATCTTCGAGCGCTTGCCGGGCGTCCAGGACCTCCTCCGCTGCGCAGCCACGTGCAAACAGTGGCTCTGCCTCATCAAAGACTCGGTCTTCCTCCGACGCATCGGCCTCTGGCCGGAGACGGCGCCCCACCCCTCGGTCCTCGTCGGCATCTTCTACCAGAACGTGGTAGTGCCTAGCGCGATTCAGCCCCTCAGAAGGATACCCGAATGTCCTCCCCAATTCTTGAGCCTTCAGGCTGGGGGCGCCCATCTGACGTTCGACTCCTTCGTCGCCAACGACGATGGGCTCTTCAACTTTGCATGGCCACTGGCATCGCGCCGTGGTCTTCTCCTCGTGCACATCATGCTGCCTACCCCGGTCGACCACCAAGGCCACCGTCCGAAGCTCCTTCTTGCCGTGTGCCGCCCTCTGATCGACAAGCGGCGCAGGCATCTGCTCCCACCGCCTCCCTTCTTGGTAAGCCATGGATTCATGAACGGGCACCGCCTAACTGGCTATGCTCTTCTCACCGATGAGGACCACCGTGCCATTGATGATTTGGATCAGCAACGACGACAACCGTCGTTTCAAGTCGTCTTGACTTACACAGGCGCCAACAGAGTCATGTATGCCTGTACGTACTCCTCTGCCACAGACAGTTGGAGCACTCCCATCAGGTGCCACCAGGTTTCACACCTCGTCAGGTGTGGACCGTATGCCGGCGTCGTCACCTGTGGCACCGTGCACTGGCTGTTCACAGACCAGAGAAGCTTCTACACACTCAATGTAAGTGTCGCCACGGCACATGTCTCATCGACCAAGATCCCCATCAACGTCCGCGCTGGTGAGCAGCGGCGGCGAGTGCCGTTTCCATGTGTCACTAGAGAAAGAAAGCTTTCTTTTGTGAGCATTCGAGATGATGGTGTGCTAGAGCTTTGGGCCAAGCAAGGGCATGATGGCAATGATCATGGCGGCGAGGCTGGTGCGGGAGGGTGGTTGCGCTCTGACCTGATAAATCTAGGAAGCGGTGATAAAATAAACCTCGTCTTCTTCGCAGAGAAAAGAGGTGCCATGCTCGTCGAGCAGGGCGGTGCTTTCTTCACCATTGATCTCAAGAGTAAGGAAAAGGCGTTGGTCGATCTCAAAGGTGAGGAAAAGAAGCATGGCAGGGGCATCTGCAGGTTTCCAATGCATCGCTGTAGTAGTAGTTGGTGTAGTGGATTCCACTGCAGCTGGGGGAAGATCAGTCCTTGCGCGTATAACAAGCCTGTGCTGTACGAGGTGGATTGGATAATTGAGGCAAGATGAGGGCAGATTGAGTCGACAATTTCTTAAAAACTTGTGCACACAGCATGTTGGATTTAAAGTATGAGTGCCAATAAATCGGAGGTGCTGGAATAAACGCAGGATAATGCACTGGAATAACAGCTGATGTTTCTTTTTGGGGCGCATGTGTTAATTCCATCTGCATTCATTCTGACTGTTCTATTTGGCTCAGTATATAACTAAAACTTTCTGTAATGTTGTTTTTCGTCTGAAATTCTGATGTAGAAGATTGTTTACATGTAATTACAACTGCCATGTGTTTTCACTTCCGAATCTATCTAGGCTAGAAATGCAATATCAGTGTCTCACTGTACTTTCATCTGAACCATGAATTATATTTATTTGTATATCTCATGATTGATTTGAGTAATGTGGTTGAATATGACATGCCGACTATGCAACGATCTTTGTCTGCCGGGTTGTTTGGCCGTGAGTTGGCCAAAATATGACCTGAGTAGGCATGCCAGTAATCTTAACACAAGCACATCACAGGCCCAATCTGGTCAGCACAACCAAACTTGGATCGGCGATGCTTGCAAGTTGAGGCTGCAACATGCAAGTGCACTTAAAAATAGGCGAAAGAGAACAATTAGTAGAACTGATCACTGTATAGTTTGCAGATGTTGCAGAAAGAAAGATACCCAGCAACTGAAGCTTTCTTTCTGGTTGTCTTCAGTTGATACTGGCAGAGATTGTTGTCAACAGTCTATAAGGCTAAATGTATGTAAGTTGTCAACAGTCCTAATTTTTCAGTTAATTAATGTTTTTTTTTCTGAAAGATCCAGCATTCCTGGCTTTGGATTGGATTAGCAGAAAGCAACGGTAACAGAAACAGAAACATGCTGGGGATACGAAGATCAAAGAGTAAAAGGAAAGAAAAATTCAGCCCTAAAGGCTGGGAATGTTGGACAACACTCCCACGGTTGACCCCCAAAAGGTGGCTCTAAACAGTTTGCACCTGCTATTCTCCATAGCTCTATTGTTCTTGGGATATGCTTCAGTTAATGTTATGCTAATTGATCATGTATTTCACTTACGTCAGGCCGTCAACAAGGATGCAAACGATGTACCTTGAGAGAAGAAGCAGGATTCGCCACATCTGATGAGGAGGAACACGAAAGAAGAAATTGATGAAATGGTGTACCACGAAGAAGTTGCCTGAAAATAGTGTTGATGCTGAATAAAAGCGTCACCTGCAGTATTCTTGCTAGTATGTCTTACTGTATTTTCAAGCCTTATTGCAGATAATAGAGTTGGTAAAAGAAAGCAACGCCGTACGTCAAGGTGGCTATGAATTGTTTCGACAACAGAATTATCTCTTCACCTGACTTTTTCCTTCCCTGGCACCCCAAGTCATTGTCCAAAGAAACTGAATGAAGTAGATGTGACCTCGCACTGCTGACTAGGCATGCATATGCGACTATGCAAGTGTGCTTCTAATCAGTTCAGTTCTGATCAGACCAACCCAAGGTAATTTTATCTCGGAGCCCGTCAAAGCAAGCTTCCTTTAACTAAAGCAAGTGTTGACGGATTCGTGGTCTCTCATAATACTAAAAGCTTAATGTTCCATCCAATGCAGAAAAACTGGACGCCCGGCCCGGCATTTCGCCTCCCTCACCGGACCGGCCCGGCCAAGCTTAGCTGCACCACCAACCCCGGCTTTGGAGTCGCCGAGTTTATTTATAGCGGCTACAACCATTCTCCTGCCAGACACAAGCACAAGGTGATCATCACACACGCAGGCACGAACAGCGCGCGATGGCCTCCACCAAGAGCTGGGCGCACGAGATCGAGGCGTCCGTGGCGGCGCCACGCCTGTTCCGCGCCGGCGTCATGGACTGGCACACGCTGGCGCCCAAGCTCGCCCCGCAGGTCGTCGCCAGCGCCCACCCCGTCGAGGGCGAGGGCGGCGTCGGCAGCGTCAGGCAGTTCAACTTCACCTCAGGTACATACCAATACCACATACAGTCAGCTCAACTTCTGCCTCAGCAGGCACGTGACACGCAGGTTGGCCTTGCATGCAGCCATGCCCTTCAGCGTCGTGAAGGAGAGGCTCGACTTCCTGGACGCGGACGGGTGCGAGTGCCGGTCGACCCTCCTCGAGGGCGGGCACGTCGGCACGGTGATCGAGACGTCCACGTCGTGCATCAAGGTGGAGCCGGCGGCCGGCGGCGGCAGCGTCGTCAAGGTGGAGTCCACGTACAAGCTGCTGCCGGGCGTGGAGGAGGGCGAGTACGAGGTCGCCAAGGCCAAGGAGTCCGTCACCGCCATCTTCAAGGCCGCCGAGGCGTACCTCATCGCCAACCCGGACGCCTACAACTGAATCAACTACATACTATCTTTGTGTGCTTTCTTCCCAATCCAATAAGGCTAGGCTGCTCCAGCCTTCAGGTATGCAGCTGGTGACGCGAGAGCAGTGAGAAAGGACGTGGACCGTGGGCTTGAAGTTAAGAGGCTGTGTATTTTGTAAGTGTCAAAGAGTGGTTTTGTTTGATGATGTTGCTGCTTGCTTATGTGTGTGTGGTTTTTACACATGAATAAAACTTATAAAAGGATGTATTTGATGATTGAGATACAATACATAGTCACGCCAGCACGTTTTTTGTCTTCTCCTTTAAAGAGAAAGATTGCATCTCCTGGCCTCTACATATTCATGATTTGATTAAAATTGGCGCTCCCCGCAAAAAAAAATAAAAGATTAAAATTGGCGCAAGGCAACGAGGCAAAAACATCAATAATAACAGTATAATCGAGAAAACAACAACGTACGGCAACCAAGACAAAGCACAATCTAAATTTATACAGCTAAGTTATCTTTCTTCCATAGCAATGTCTTCAAGAAATGAGAACACGCACATGCCGATGTCACCAACTCTAGCACGTGGCAGCTAGAAGCAAATATTTCCAGCCATGATGTTGGGTTCAACAAATCACTCCACACCAACGCCTTTAGACTGGTCATAGGGGGGTAACTTATACTAGTGTCATGCATATTACATTAGTTTAAGTTACTACCTTCATAATGCAAAGTAACATAGTAATAGTGTTATAGATGGCTTCATTTATTAGCTTGTCAATCATCTTTTCTCAGGAAGCATTATGTTATAGTAACATATTAGGTTACTCTCTTTTTTTGCGGGAAAACTTCCAATCTATTCATCTTCAATCATGGCAGTACAACGAATACCAGAAATAAAAATTACATCCAGATTCGTAGACCACCTAGCGACGACTACAAGCACCGAAGCAAGCCGAAGGCGCGCCGCCGTCATCGCCCCTCCATCGCCGGAGCCGGGCACAACTTGTTGTAATAGACAGTCGAGAAGTCGTCGTGCTAAGGCCCCATAGGACCAGCACCCCAGAACAGCAACCGCCGCCGAAGAAAAATAACGTAGATCGGAAGGATCCAAACACCTATCTCCTCATTAACTACATGACACATAAGCAAATTTGTCATAAAATGCACTATGTTACTAGCTAAGTTACTCCCACTATGACTAGCCTTAGCAATGTAACGATGGAAGTGTCACTGTTGTCCAACCAGTAAATGTCAAATCATAAATTTTCACGCCTCCAAGGTCATGCAGATGTTTGATGAGGCTGAAGGAAATATGCCCTAGAGGCAATAATAAAGTTATTATTTATTTCCTTATTTCATGATAAATGTTTATTATTCATGTTAGAATTGTATTAACCGGAAACATAATACATGTGTGAATACATAGACAAACATAGTGTCACTAGTATGCCTCTACTTGACTAGCTCGTGAATCAAAGATGGTTAAGTTTCCTAGCCATGGACAAAAGAGTTGTCATTTGATTAACGGGATCACATCATTAGGAGAATGGTGTGATTGACATGACCCATTCCGTTAGCTTAGCACTTGATCGTTTAGTATATTGCTATTGCTTTCTTCATGACTTATACATGTTCCTGTAACTATGAGATTATGCAACTCCCGTTTACCGAAGGAACACTTTGGGTGCTACCAAACGTCACAACGTAACTGGGTGATTATAAAGGAGTACTACAGGTGTCTCCAAAGGTACATATTGGGTTGGCGTATTTCGAGATTAGGTTTTGTCACTCTGATTGTCGGAGAGGTATCTCTGGGCCCTCTCGGTAATGCACATCACTATAAGCCTTGCAAGCAATGTAGCTAATAAGTTAGTTACGGAATGATGCATTATGTAACGAGTAAAGAGACTTGCCGGTAACGAGATTGAACTAGGTATTAGATACCGACGATCGAATCTCGGGAAAGTAACATACCGATGACAAAGGGAACAAAGTATGTTGTTATGCGGTTTGACCGATAAAGATCTTCGTAGAATATGTAGGAACCAATATGGGCATCCAGGTTCCGCTATTGGTTATTGACCGAGAATAGTTCTAGGTCATATCTACATAGTTCTCGAACCCATAGGGTCCGCACGCTTAACGTTACGATGACAGTTTTATTATGAGTTTATAAGTTTTGATGTACCGAAGTTTTTTCGGAGTCCCGGATATGATCACGGACGTAACGAGGAGTCTCGAAATGGTCGAGACATAAAGATCGATATATTGGAAGCCTATATTTGGACATCGAAATCGTTCCGGGTGAAATCAGCATTTTACCGGAGCACCGGGAGGTTATCGGAACCCCCCCGGGGGGTTATTGGGCCTACATGGGCCTCGAGGGAGAAGAGGGAAGGAGGCAGGAGGGGGCCGCGTGCCCCTCCCCTTCCTAGTCTGAATAGGACAAGGGAAGGGGGCGGCGCCCCCCCTTTCCTTCCCCTCTTCCTCCTCTTTCCCCCCTTCTCCTATTGCAACTAGGAAAGAAGGGAGTCCTACTCCCGGTGGGAGTAGGACTCCCCCCTTGGCGCGCCCTCCTTGGCCGGCCGCCTCCTCCCCCCTGGCTCCTTTATATACGGGGGCGGGGGGCACCCCATAGACACACAAGTTGATCTACGGATCATTCCTTAGCCGTGTGCGGTGC